GAAAAGTGTGGGAATTTTAATCTCCAATTTAATCAAATTCATGCGAGCATGTGATTGTCACTTACAGGTACACGTATAACTTATTTTGCTTGATTGATGCAATCGTATTTAAGACTATGGATATAAAAATAACTCCGACGTGTCATCCGCCTTCACAGAAATCTGATTAATGTCAACAAGGATCAAAATAAAAGGAACTTCAGTTTTTAATTAACCTCAAACTGCGAAAAAATGTTTGATAAAAATCGTTTTTACTTTTTAGCTCAAACATGAATTTGCCATTACGTTAATTTGTTTTTATTTAAATTGGCCGGGTACTGCCCGGCAGAAAATGCGCGCGTTTCGATTTTTTTAGAAGAAACCTCTATCCGCCCATTATTTTACGTACGTTAACGCATGTTGCCATAATGTTTGGAAGATTTTGTAGACCCCTTTATTTTTTTGCTTAAGGGGCATTAAATAAATGCACGCGAAAACAAGAAAATTAGGCTGGTGTTACGGCTGACAAATATAATGCAAACGCCAAGGTAAGCACTCACCCAATCACGTCTGTTTTGTGTGATAAGAACGCTTAAGACACATGAACGCTCCACGACTATTGCATGTTGTTGTCAAAGATTTTAGAAAGATAGCGTGTGGCTTTTCACCTAGTTAAAAAAAGAAAAATAAGGTAGGACCATCCTCAAAAATTATTGGGATTAGAACAACGCAAGGATGCCATCAGGAAAACGAAACCAGTCGGAATATTTTTTAAAAAAATACGTACTTTGCGAAAGCACTTTTGGAGTGCATTCTTATGTAATTTTTTTACAAATATTAGCAAAATCCATCAATGATGACTCTGTAGATGCAAGTTGTCATGACTTGACTAATTTGCGTAAAAACGCAATATCGATCTTACGTTTGCTAGCTAGCATTTTCTACTGCCTATCTAATAATCAATTTTAGTTCAGCAAAAAGAAAACAAGCTAAAAAACAGTCTGTTGTTAGCAATCAACCCAAAAAGTAAAATGTGCATTATGGGAGTTGCAGTGTAGTGAGTGTCTCTTCCATTCAAGATAAAGAAGCACTAAACAGATACTAGCCCAAAAATAAGAATGACTGCATAAACAGTAAAATGTGCTTTCATAAAAATCATGGTCGGCCGTACATATCAGGGAGTTAGTGAAAAAACCGATATCAGTAAAAAAAAATAAAAAACCCCCGTAAATTTAAAGTAAAACACAAATATTTTACTCCAATCTTTGGTTATAAGTGAGCATGTTTCGTCTTTAAATATATCAAAAGTAAGACTTTTTTCTAGGCATTGGGAAGCCAGGCATCCCATAAACAATACCTTAAATGCAGAAGGCATATTTGACTTTTTCAAATATAAGGGAGGTAACCTAATAAACTTGATATGGCACAAGAAACAATAACATGAGTCCTTGTCGGCCTTTCTGTTTCCGAGTATTCTCATAAAGAAACCGGATTAATCTATTCTGTCTTCTGGTGGTTTAATGATTTAAATATATGCACTGTGTAGAGGAGCGTTTCGTAATTTTTCCCCTCTCCATTTGTATGTGAGTACATTTTCATTTCACCCATTGCATTGCCTGTTTTTCGATAACTGCGGGATTTCGTTATTAGCAGTAATGTCATTGTTCTCGTTCACATACGACGTCCTAGTATTTTCGAGAAAACTTTCGAGGATACCCATCGACGCATTAGGTTAATCTCAAATCCGGACGCTTGTTCCTTTTTTATCCGAAAATTTAGCACAAGCCACCTAGACTTTAGATTACCCGAGTTGTGCATATCATTAAAAAAATAATTAGTTTAATCAGAAATTTAGAAGCACTGTCGTAAATTTATTGACCGCACGACTATTGGGTTATACAAAGTTTAACTGAGACACGTATATCAGCACAAGCAGGGTTTTAACTTGTTCATAACCATGGCTGGGGTACTTTTCATCTGAATAAGATAAAACATTTTTTGTCAGCCGAAACCGTATCCATTTTGCGTGCATCTAAATTTAGAAAGTTCTATGTTTTGGCCTTTTTTATGATTTTAAACTAAAGAGACTAAGTAAAACAAATACGATTAGAAGAACTGGATCACCATGCTACACTTAAAAATTATCCCCTGGCAGCTTGCACCAATAAAATCGAATCTAATGTGTCACGGGAAGAATGAATATGCTATGTCTCTAAAACAGGCTTCGCTGAAAATCTGGACCGATTATGAGTTGACTGAAACCTGGGCCCTTGGCGAGGACTCAGTCCTACACTATCAACTCCACCACCTTATTTTTTAATCGTCTGCGATTTGCAGTTCACATTTATTGGTGATGCTATGGCTGCTGCTGTCGCGACTCTCAGTGAGGGTTTAAAAGCTCGAACTGATAAGCAAGTGTTCCGGCTGGTATCCTAGCAATCACCTTGAACTCGAGTATTTTTTCTGTCATATCGAGCTGCGAAATTTCTGTCTTAATGTCGTTTAAGAGTTGCTTGGCCAACCGAAGCCAAACCCTTCCCGCCAACAGTTTTTTTAAGGCAACAGGAGTTCCGTATCAAACGCTGTGGCAGATTTAGGCGAAGGCTTACCTTTTGTATGTGATGCTCGATAACGCAAGGGTATAACTGAGACATGTTTACTTATTTCAAAGTAAGACCGCACTTGCATCACAAACATACATTTACTATTTAAGATTTAAAAATGTCGTGCATAGCGTTGAAACGGCCTACCTAAATGTTTTTTTAAATACTTTAAATTCTCATTTAAATTGATCTGCGAAGACGGAATGAAAGTTTTGGTCGAAATCTTCTGAGATTCGGTCCGGAGATAGATATGAATGTTTTAGCTAACGTCTATCACCCTTGACGGAATAGTAACACAATGCTCATATGCTGTACGTTAGTAATCGTCAATTTATAAATGCTAATTAAGTTATTATTATTACAAAACAGATATAAGATAAAAACCCAGACAGACTGCACACCAGTTCTTGATGCAACCCCTTTCTTCAGCGGAAAATGACATCTAGTGAATTACTAAAGCTATTTGTTTTATTAGATTTCAGTATTTATGAAACATCATCGCTATGCAGGATTTAATATGGAGTAGGCAAAAGCAATTAACCAAGCGGAAAGTCCAGCTAACATGTTTTATTAGAACCAGTTACTCAAACTGATTAACCGTCCATAGGGCCCCGAAAAAAGCTAAAATTGTACAGCGATTAGATTCGTCTAGCTTATGCTTGCTACTTATTAACGGATTCGAGTGCAAGTCTCTATCAAATAAGAACGGGGAAAATATCCGTTGATTTTTCGATCCGACTGGTTTAAATTTAGTAGATATGGCTATACCTTCTTCGCCTCAAATCAATTCAATAAAATCAGATGACAACAGCAAATGATTGACACACTTCTCACGCAAATGTAAATCACGAAAGTTTGTGAGTTATAACACCTACTGCAGTAAAACAAATGGTTATGGAGAACTCGGCCAATCAAAAAGAAGAAAAATTCACCAGGAGAAGCATATAGGCGCTTTGACAATTCAACAAGCGCTTTTGGCTACCTGATTTCCCGCAGAGGAGAATCTCATGCATGGATATGAGCCTATGGCACGTGGGTTGCGCATACAAGATTTTGGATACATAAATCACATATTCCGACCGTAGGTCTGCTTTTTTACCAAATGCATTAATCGCACGAGGGGCTTATTAACGGTCAACTGAATGGCTCTTGTTGGAAAAACTCAGCGCCTCGGTGGAATTCGAACACACGTAGTAAGCGGAAGACATCAGTACAGCCAACGCTCTAACCACTTAAGCTACGAGGTCCCGCTGGACGACGCGAGTTTAATCCCATTTGGGTCAAGTTACCCGCCTAACCTACTACAACGTCTGAATTCAACCAAATCTGATACGGTAAGTTGACTGCCCAGGCAGGATTTCCTAAGTAATTCACCCAGAATCCACCGGATGACTACCGGGCTCGCGTAATTCATAGATGTTTTTGGCAGATTTTTTTGATCAAAGAACTCCGTGAAATAAACCACTACATTTTAGTTTATAAAATTCTATGAAAGAGGCATCGCCACAGATCAGTCAGCAGAGGCACCCACTGACGGAAGGTGTGGTCGGAACAGCACATTTTGTAGTACTTGGCTAGAGTTAAAGGATGGATCACTCAAGCAAATAAACTCCTTAAATTTTCCTCTCCAGTCGGTCCTATGCGTGCAAGCAAATATTTTGCGGTGGCTATCCTAACGAGGATCTCAAGTTACCCAGCTGGGGACTTGCGACCGACGGCGCACACGTACTCCGATGAAACCACACGAGAGTTGCTTTTTTTTGCTGGGACCATTTTGCTGAATTTTGTCTCATCTCTTTTTCTTCCTCGGAATCTGCACAGCATATACAAAACGTCAAATTTTGTGCTACTACTGAGGACAGTTAAAGAGTAAAATCGGCATGACGAGGAGTCATCAATGGCGTATGTTTATCCAAGTGTCTACTTTTAAAAAATAAAATCAAAAACTAGTTCCTCTTCACACTGAGCGAAATGGCGTGATATTTGACAACATTATGCAGGAAAGCGCAACGCGATGGAAATTTCAGGGAAAGAGGCACGGCTTACTGTTATCAATATTATCGAGACATTTGTCAGAATTTTGCAGGCCCTCACTGAAACTTTTATGCTTCCCAGTTTAATTTTGAAAGTATCTCGTCAAAAATTCCTGTAACATTTACTGTGAAGCCAAAATAATTCCTACCGCCGAGGATTCGTTTGCGTTCGGAAGTTCTAAACCCTGGCGGCCACTGAGTATTTTTTCCAGTTTTATTGAAATCTGATTGGCGTAGGTAGCTGAAAGCTTATTGGGCAACAGCGGCTTAGTAAGTATTTGCACCCGCTTTTTGCTTATCGAGAAATTGCTTTGGTCTTCTGATAACCGCACAGGCTGTCGACCCGTGAAAACTGGCCTGACCGCCCCATCGCACACATTATGCCATGTTTGTCGAAATTCGCGGCTGGTGCTTGTTTGAACACGTGACCAAGTTATGCGGCGTCATCGCTGTTTGCCTTGTCTGTGCAAAGTCATTTGCGTGCGCCGCGCACCTCCAACATCCTGAACAGAATGAAGGGGGCCGCGATCTGGAGCAGAGGACCCTTCGTAACGATATCCAGCGTTTGCTTTCTGACAGCGACTGGCCTCAGGGTGAGTCCTTTGCGCGAAATCGGACGCTCTTCAACACCACCCTAATCGGAAAGGAAAATTTTACAAGTTATTGGCATTTATCGGCCGATGCGCCTGTGGCAGAAGTCTTCGATGCTGCCCACCGGATGCATACACCCAAGTCTATCGAAGGAAAGTCGGCAATTGTGGATACCGACCGCGGTCCTTTTCTCTGTCCTGAAACAAACATCTTTGCCAGTCACCTCATACATGGGCCTATTCTGATTGCTGTCCTAGGCTGCATTTTCATTGTGCTCAATAGCATTTGGGTTTTTCGGATGTTTTTCCTGAAGCGCAGCCTCTGCTTGTCAGCGCAGTCTGGTGGCGCCAAATACCTGCCGCATGCGTGCCCTGACAGCGCCGACAAGCTGCAGTGCAAAGCTCAACTTTTGGAACGGATGGCTGACGTCTACCTGACCCTGCACATTCATGCCACACTTGCTGTGATAGTTTTCTTTCTTCTCAACATGTGCTTACACACAGTCCTGCACGGGGAAGTCTGGAATTTCCTGATTGAGGTTCCCTCCACTCCGGTATGCAAACAACGCATAGTCTGTGTGCTGGGCAGCCTGCTGGTGGATTTGGTTGTCTCCGTGTTCTGGTCTATCCTCCTACTTTCTCTACTTTTTCTGCTTCTTTTAAATGTCGCCCATAGGAGTCGCGTTCTCCTCTGTCTGTGTAAATGCCTGCGTGGTGGGAGACGTCAGAAAACTTACGCAATCGTCCTCCACGTGTGCCCTTGGTTCTTCAGCCTGACTACTCGTCTTCTGCACGTCATGCTCCTCGACAGGTCGCTTCCAAACTACCTCAGCGAGTACGCAAAGCATACTTCTTCAGTCAGTCAGGAGAATGAAGGCTTAGGAAAGATTGTGCAGCGGATGCGTGCGGAGGAACAGTGCGCGCGCATAGGAAACAGTACGTATAGACTGGTAGAGGCCATTCTATACACCGTCCCTCTCCTCTGCGTTTTCCCGGCGTCTGTACTTTGCCTTGCCGCAGCACAAAGGCGGCAGAAGAGTGGTCCTACTAAACAACCTACAGTGCTTCTCTACGACACCACGAACGGCCTGCCCCCGTCTATAGCCGAGAATACAAAACCCCTCAGTTCCCTTGAGGGACCCTCTACAGTGAATTCTGTCATTCAAAGCACCAACTGTGATAGCCGACAGGACCCTCAAGGCCGCCGGCTTGCCGGACATCCCAATTACGGCAACATAGCCTTAGGCATGCTTGGTTCTCCCCAATCACTGACAGTTCTAGCCAGCTTTTGTGTAGCCGGACTGGTAGTTTCGGGTCTTCGAATCATGCTGACATCCCTTGCAGTCGGTGCAGACGCACCAGACCTTTCTGACCTCTCCAAATCACAGATGTCCCCTGACTCGTCAAGTCGGTATGATATCACCGAGAAGATCACGAACCTTCTAGAGATATTAACCATTGGACTTGTCTATCCCTGTTTTTCCATCTGCATTTCAACAAACAGGATGTTAGATCGCGGTGTACGCACCGCTTCAATGACAACACTCAATTACGTCTGCGAACCCTCCGTGGGTGGGGAGCTGACGCAGAGGTTTCCAGCGGCGCGCACAAGGACGCCGCTGACAACGGCAGCAGGAACAAGTTTTGTAAAACCAAAATCGCAAATTCCAGCAAAAGATCTACTCGAAATTCCAACATATACACGCTGCCAGTTCTATGGTACACTCAAGACGGATGATAAAAATGAAATGATGTTTCCAGAACCCGGCATTTCACCTGACTCAGTCCTCGTCTCCCTTGAAAACTGTGAAATAAAATAGATACTTTAATCTCTGTCCATGTGATTTGCTGTGGGGTAAGAGCAGTTGCGAAAGCTTAGTAATGACTCGTTTATTAGTTGTTAGAGGTCATTTTTACATGTAACTTACAAGCACTTGACTTCCTGGTTAAAGTAGTCGTTTAATGCGTTCAAGAAAACGAAGAAGGAATTAGCCGGATGCGGAAAACATGCAGTCATCGGTCAAAAAATGGAATGTAGAAGTTCATATTTAACCGTGTTTTTTGCGCACAGTGCGCATAGAACAGCGGCTTTCTGCGTTTTGGTGATGGTTCTTAGACTTGTGCAACTAGGATGGATCTTTATATCTCTAAAAATTAAGCAATGAGGACCAATTCACGATTTTTCTTGTATGGACTCCTTTCCACATGAATGGAACTTTCTAAATTTCTCGTTGTAGTAAGTAATTATAAAAGTAAAAGCCAAATTCAACAAATATGCATTCAAATTTTGTGCCTCTCTTAAGGACATATAGAGAACGCTGAAAGGTATTCTCATTTTGTATCACTAGGAAGCCACTGTTCGTAATAATTCACACGAAACGGTAGGTTCTTACATAACGATTATGGTATCAATTTGTCCTGTCTTACATAAAGTAAAATTTATCCTCTCCAGTGCCTGAGACGATACATTGTCGCAGCAAGGCAAATCATGCACGACAGACCATGAGGGCATCAGGGAAAAATGCTGCAAACAGCCTTTTTCGTGAAAGGGCCCTCCGCGTATTATTTCCTAATAGTTAACACAATCTTACACTATAACACGTTTGAGCTTCATTTAGTTGTGTGATCAAATTTAATTACGGTCATATCACTTTACGCAATATTTATTGGTAGCCGAGTATATTCAGTACGCCTTTTTGCCCACTGTTAATAATATTGCACTCTTCTGTCCAGTTCCCCGACGTTGGTAACTTTAAGTGCGCTGTTTTCACTAACAGGCCTTTAGGATGTTATAATCATACAGTTTTGAGTAAAGCTCATTTAAACTGTCAAATGTTAAAATACGCGTATGCATATATGTGCACAAGGATCTTGCTTTATATAAACACCAGGAATTTCAAGAGAACATATTATTTTTTCTGCAGCTTTCAAAAGACAAGATTTCAGTAAAGTATTTTACTGGCCTTTGAATACACCAGGTAATGTATAAAGATAACGAAATTTTAAAATTTAAATGAAAAATGGCAGCCATAAGTACGCACTGCGTTATAAAATGAAATCCAAAATTATGAATGTTAAGTCCCTTTTAGTTTGTATCTGTTAGTCGTAGGAAATTACGGTGGATGTCCACAAATATTTTCAAACAAAAATTAATTTAGATATTGTGATTAAAGAAACAGACCCCGTAAACATCGCCGTATGACCGCAGGCCCAAAAAGTATTTTGTTTCGTTAATAGGTGTTCATATGCAAACATCAGCGCCGAGTTAACGCGACTTTGAATATGTTACCGAAAATGAAGCAAGATCCAAGTTAGTTATTCCCAATAAGCTATGCCAGTTGAGTTCCAAATCGAATGCACAAACGTTTACAGGGACATAGTTTTTTATCCGAATTCGCAAAACGTTAACAAATCAGCACTGAATATTTATGAAATGCTTCCCTGTTTCGCATTAATTTTATAATTGTAAAACTTTAAAATTCCGGAAATCCGAACCCGCGTTAAAATTACGGTATGGTAATTAGAAAAACATTACATCTTGAGGGACAGGATTGAAAAAATAAAAATAATTTCCCAAGAAGTAATCTGTGCATACCTATACAGTGAATGACCTATCTCATGAAATGTTGGCTGAAATTCTGAAATGCGTTTTCGATTAGGAAGGACTACTTGGTCGCGGTTGTAATACTGATTATCCTGTGGCATACTCTTATAACATTTCGGACTCGGCAGGATGTCGGCTTTTAAATGCATTTCTTTTCAATCTTCTGAAGAAAGCGTGCTCGGTAAAAATGACTACATAATTAGCATGCATTTTTCCCATTGAATTACGATGGTCTTTGAAATTCAAAAATATTTTATATAAACCATAAAATAAATTACGCTTTTTTAGTCAATCAATAGAGAATCACGTCTTCTTTATATTTTATACTTAAGAAAGGAGCATAATTAGGTTTTAAAAAAGTTTCTAATTATGAGACTTTTTAAGACCGCGAAATGTCCATTCACATAGCATCGTACCTGGCCGTTTACATTGCTCCTCAGGAAACGTACAACATGGTTCGCATCCATTACAAAATTTTATGGACTCTGCATGATACCTCTTTAATGCCATAGAAAAATATGTGATTTTCTTTACGCGGAACGAATGCCTCTAGTAGAGTTAAATCACTAAGCGCTAATGCAACGTATGATCAGGCCCCGAATTATTCGGCAATTGGAAAACTTTTTAAAAACCTAATTATACTCCTTCCTTAAGTATAAAATGTAAAGAAAACATGATTCTCTATTGATAGACTAAAAGAAAGCCTATCTTTGTTTATGGTTTCTATACAATATATTTGAATCTCCAAATCCATCGAAAATCAAACGGAAAAATGCATGCTAATTATGTAGTCATTTTTTACCAAGCACGCTCTCTACAGGAGATTGAAAAGAAATGCATTTAAAAGCCGACATCCTGCCGAGTCCGAAATGTTATAAGAGTATGCCACAAGATAATCAGTATTACAACCGCGACCAAGTGGTCCTTCCTAATCGAAAACGCATTTTAGAATTTCAGCCAACATTTCATGAGAGAGGTCACTCACTGTATTTTGATTATCATTGCAATTTCGCAAATATTTTACAGATCAGTACACACACCGCGCATCCTGCGGGGGCCTTTTTAGATCACATGAAGCTAACTTACGTAATGTACACTGTGTTATCCGGAGGTTGACTGAAATATATTGGATGAGTCAGCTTTGCATATAGAGGAAAGTAATTTTAAATGTTAATCGGGGATCTAGCAAATGCTGCAGCGTGTAAATTCTGTTGTGCAGCTGAAAAAACGTCTTACGATAGGCATAAATATGCAGTGTCCGTTATTTGTTAGACTGAATAAAACGGTTCATATGTTACTCATTTAATGACATAGCACCGGGCCGCCGAAATGGTTTTTTGCGTTCGGCAAACCTGCAGTGATTTCATTTATGAAATTTGTAACAAAAGTTCTATTCGAATTATAATTTTGGAAGTTCGGGTAGTGTTTTTGACAGTTTTGAAGGGTATAAATGTTTTGATATCTTAGGACTGACATAGAGTCGAATGTGCACAATATTAACTAGTTAAGCTTTTATCAACGATAGAAGATGATAAAGGTATAATATTTTTCGATGTTTCTAGGAGACAGAAAATCCAACTAACTTCGATTATTCTTTATATTTCTCATCCACACAAGTTACTGTGCACAAAAATATACATTTACATTGTCTTTGCAACCTACGTTTTGGTAAAAAAATTACTGCATCCGCTATTACGAGCGTTTTCTAAAAATATTTCTGAGATACTGCAGTCTTCGTTTGATTGGATTATGTCTGTTAACATTTTAAAATTAGAAACGGTTTTGTTATCCTTCCTTTTCGATTAATTTTTTCCATGCGTTTCTCTGCAGCAAAGGCCATGTTTTAAGTTATTTCGGAGGATCTTGAACGTGTTACCCCGTTTCAACAACTTATGGTAAAACATATGTTCCCCAATTCGGAGAGAACGAAAGCTTCTGAGCCTATTTTCAATAGCAGTCCAAGGGAAGCATGTATCTATTTCGCCAGCCATCTTAATCTATGTATTACCGACTTTGAATGCCAGCTATTGCTCAGCAAGTATTCTTCGGCGGCAAAATCGAAACATTTTTGGCATTCTATTCTATTATGCTCAAACTGAAAAACTCTGTGCACCTCTACGTAGTCTCTGTAGAGAGAAATATTTGACAAACTGCATCGGGCAGTGGTAAAATATACAGATAAAGTAATTTGTGAACAAAACCCAGAAGTTTAGAGTTTAGCGCATTTATCTGAAATTAATTTTAAGCTGTAAGTGAGTCTACACAATTCACAGACCAAAACAGGAAACGCAGATAGAAAGTATGAGACACATTTTTTTAAATAAAAAACGTCCTGAACTTTCATAGGGGCGCAAGCCGGTTGGTAGCGTATTATGGGATCATTGTGGATAAGTACCTGCAAAAACCTCGCATAATCGCAGTTACAAAAGAAACAAACATCAAAAAAATTCAAAAGACCGCCAAATGGGGTTCTTCAAAGAAATTTATGACTAGAAGCTCGTCAGCACCTATTGAAATTTCAAGACTTTGACATCTAATTTGATTCTGTTACGAATTCAGCATTAACTCATTTAATGCCAGTTTGTTCTGTCGTTCCCAAAATTATTGACATTAAAGAGTGCGCGTGCAATATCTGAGATCCCTTTTAAGTGACTTCATTTAAATGGGACGGAGAATGTTTCAGACACATATTGAAAGCGTTATACCGATGATTCACGCCGGCAGCTATAAATAGTGTTCGGATTAAGGCGTAAATTTCTACCCTAGCGGCACCTACTAACAAGTTTTACCCAAGGGAAGAAAGTTAAAGTCTTTAGTATACGACGACAACCCAAAGTCTTTGTTTGTTGCTTTCTCAAAGTACTGCCATATTCAAAAGCAAAAGTTGGATATTTTGGGTATTTGGCAAGATTTGCTGTCAACTAATCGCTTGTCGGGAAAACAAGACAGCAACTTTCTGCAGACGAATCTGCTGCTTATTAGGCCGAGGCATGAAGAAGCCGATGCATCTGAGCGGTAGTGAAAGGTAAATTCGTTATTCATAATTCTTGCCTAAAGAGTCGCAAGATATACCACCCAGAAATCCCGCAGGGCGGGGCACGAGATGATGGTGATAAGGACAAGACGGTGTGATCTCCACGTTATAGGTAAGAGGAAGGAAAGTGCAGAGGAAATAAAGGCAAAAATCTCCTCAAAATGCAAGGCACCGCTGAACTT